TTTTGACAAAGTCTTCCTTCACCCCTTGGAAGTTTTTGTTCGGAGGGCACGTGTGTGAGATGGTGACTGATCGAGTTTGTTGGTCCGTGAAGGGAGGGTAGGGCATTTTGGGCTTATCATGGGTAAGACAAATGTTTATTTCGAGCGAATTTACGGCCATCGTTATTGGATGTCAGTGTGTAGTCTCATCGGCTGGTCATGTGTTGCGTGTTGGAAATATTTTTACTTGGCGGTGAAATGAGGGATTATTTGGGTGTTGACATACTCTTCTAATAAAAATAAATAGCAAATATACATTACGCAAGTCTCAGAGATGAATGTTTTGATTTATTAGTCGAAAATCAGAGTAGGCTCTACTATATTTTCTGCGTGCAAGCCCACATACAAGTGTTTTTTACTTAACATTTATGCTCTAATGTAGCCTCTTGCCTACGATGATTAGTAAATCAATGAGATATATATTATATATCAAATTTAACAATAAGAGACACCATTAACTTTTGAATAATCGTACATTCGTGTGATGTTCATAAATTTTTTATGCAAATGATGGTGATAAAAATATGTAAAATTGTTCGATGATACATAAATATCGATGACATAATGCTTTTGATAATAGGATGGTTTACCAAAAAACAAATTATGCTGTCTATCTATTTTGACTTCGGATCATCTTATTTATGGTAGGCTTTTATTATTTATTCATTATGTACATTGAATTATAAAATAGTCAATTTAATACGTACAATCGCAAGTGCACATATATGACGGTGCTCAGCGTGATATATATATATATATCGATTGAGTTGTGTTTTTAACATAGTTTAGAAGTTGCTGTACATAATAACTCATGAAGCTCTTTTTATAATACTATAAAACTAAGAAATAATAAAAAAGACAAAACATTGTTATATACTCCGCGAAAATAGCATCAGCTAACTTTTTTATAAGACTTATTTTCTTTAACTTTAATAAAGATTACATTTAACTCACTACACTATGGATTTTTTTACAGTTTAATCTAGTTTAAAGCTGATATCTTCATAGTCATAACTTGTCATTAAATTTCTTATTTATTTCCGATAGTTTTTGAAGAACATGCCCATACACCCAGTTATCAGCGTCAGTGGCTCGTAAAAAGTCGATGTGATTGAATTGTGTATCGTTTATTTTGTATATGCCCAGTTTGTTTGATGTCTCGTTGTAAAACCGATGCGCATCCTTGACAAAAATATAATAAAAGTTATGATAAAGNTTCTATTTTGTAAATATTTCTATAAAGCCAGCTTTAGTAAGATAATTAATTACAAAAAACATGGAGGTTAAAGAAATTTGGCCCTGGTTTGTCATGATTTTCACTTGACTTTAATTTTTAAATTTATCAATAGTATTATCAAATAAATTATCCACAACTATCGTCGTACAGGATCTTTCAGCATATCGTATAGTAAAGAATGATGTCTTTACACTGTTTTCTCTACTATTATCGTACTACTAGCATCTACACTATCAACCTCTTTAGGGATTTCAGGAAGTGTTTTTCTTTTTTTTTGATGGATCAACAAAACGTAATCTTGTAAAAAATGTTTCGCAATTTACATAAAACGCTTTCTCAAGACATTTTTAATATCCGGGACTGTTTTTGCTACTTCAGTACTTGTGTCATGAAAGTTGTATTAGTATTACGATCTTTCATGGAAGACATGGTATTTTCCATCTCGTTTCGAAAAGTGTTTTTTTCTCCTCGATTACAATATCAAGATGTTATACAATATCGGATCTCAAAATCCATTACAGCACTCTATTCTTGTTATAAAAGATCATTCGCACGGCACGCTCGGTTATTTTTACTTTCAATTTCACGCCCTTCCACTCGTACAATGATACACCCAAGTTGAAATCATCTTGGGAATTTTAAATAGAATTTCCGCACAGCCCGAACAATGCATGGGCGCTCTCTCTACCTCAGTGCCAATTCCAATCGAAAACAGAAATACTCACGAGAGTAAAAGAAATTAAATAACTACGTTATGTACACGTATTTTTTTCTTTTTTTTCTACCAGTTATGAACGTAACGAGATAGCCACCGGTGCACGACGTGTGGGACCTACACGTATAGAATACCCATGTGCGCTGTTACCCACGCGTGAGTCTGAGAGGGAAGCAAAAAGTACCATCGTGACGGATGATAGCAATTAAAAGTGCTACGCCTGTGGTAGTCGTGCAATAAAGAATCGGTCGTATCGGACTCTGCCTCAATAAACGTCCCATAAGCTGCGGGCTGGGCTACTTGAATGAACATGTGCACACACATGCACACAAACAAACAAAACACACACACACAAGCACATACCTAAAATGCCATTTTCGATCGGAGCATGGGGTGAGAGAGGATCGACGATCGGTGCCAAGCCGACCGTATATTGGCAAATGGAGGGAGGCTCTCGGAACGAACGAGTGGGGGGATCACATTGCGCACAATGATGGAAATCCAAGAGATGAGAGGCGGGTTTCTTTTTTTTTTCAAGCTACGATCTTCCGTGAGGTCGAGCTCTCTACTCTACTTTTTCCGATACTGGTGTCGATTATATTGCTCTGTCGAGGCAAAATAACCCTCTCGTTTTGGACTTGTCTGCGTTGGCTATACTTACTTTCATTTTTCGTTTATGAATCTGTGGCTCGATTAAGATGTTGTACTTGTTATAATTAATGTATGAAAGTAACTCTTGGTTTTAATCAAAACATTAACGGATGTAGCAGTTATTAATGGAAACAATCGTTTCTGGGCATTGGCATAAATCGAGAAAACATCGGTTGTAATTTTGGTGGACTTTAAAGACATGCTTACTAAATTTCTGCGGTTTCATCAACTTTATTAATCATCGGGTTTTGTAATCAAATTTTTAAAATTAAGAATACGAAAATTAGTTATGCATAAAGTGTGTAGAATAAATGTAGTCGTATAACATCGAAAACGAAGCAGGGTGTGAAAACCTCGTGTGGTCATCCATACCGATCGTAATAATTATTATCAACTTATTGTAATATCCACTTGGGCAGTACGTCATTTTGTGAAGCTGAGCAAAACAAGAGTATGATACAACACCGAAAGCTCGTAAGCCAAATGGAGTCATGAAAACTATTTTATCATCACGACCACTTATGTCGAATTATCGAAGGCTCATTTATGCTCACATAATACTACAGCGGACACGTTAATACACAGGTGGTGTGAAATAAAGTCGAAATTCGATATTACGATATTAGGAAAAGCTACGTTCATCGGTCGAATAAAAGCACCCAGGGAAAGAGAACAAAAAAAAAGAGAGATGGAGATTCGTCACATGTGCGCGCAATAAAAAGTCAAGGTCAGAAGAACAGGGAGAGGAGAAAGAGGGATTTCCCGGTTCCAGTGCCGGAAGAGAGGACAAGCGCACTTGTCACTGTACTTCCCCGTGTGATAGACTTTGAATAACGAGCACATGTGTACGCAAAATTTAATCAGGTGAAATGCACGTGTGTCCCCAAGTTATAGCTTCTAATCATAAGTAGGTACATACAGACGCCTGCGTTGTGCTGTTAAACCACGTGTATGCTTGAAATGAACCTGTTGACGCCCAGGATAAATATCGCACAGACGCCGGGATAAATATTGCTACACCTGTGTTGCCTATCATAGACCATGTGTTACAAGCGTACACGTTCAAGGTACGTCTGTGTGTGCTTGGCTCTTTGTTAAATTTACGGATATGGATCCTTGTTTTATTACCTATTAACAGGACGGGTGTGCTTTGTGCTTAGCAAATCTGTTACGAAGAATTAGCTTTTATTTTTCCATTGCAGTCGGTGGAGCTTGATATCAGACAACAGTTTGCTGCAGCTGATGCTTGGCGTTGCTCGATAGGAATGATTTTGTTTTCATGCAAATTGTCATGTAACAAAGCCCAGGGTGATTAAAGAGAGTAGCTTTTAGGTGCCAGTGAATGTTTTGGGGTGATTATGATATGATTGTAAATTTTAAATCCGATTACTCGAATGTTCGAATGTCAAAGGTCAAAGTGTCAGTTTAACTGGGACTAAATGATAGCAAGAATATGAGATATTTTTATCCATCTCGTTAAATATTTTGAATGCTGTTATCGTATTTATAATAAAAAATAATATATAGTTATTTTACGTCAACTTTAATGTCACGATTTTATACGATTTTATGTCAAAAATAATTCACTCGAAATTTAGCAACACGNGCACATTCTTCGTCTCAACAGTATTTTTATTGATTATATTAGCAGTAAAATTTATCAAACGCCATAGCACGTGACAGTTACTCGTAGTAAAAAAAAAAAAAAATCCTTATAAAACTCTTAATTTTAATTTTATGACTTTTATATTTCTCTATGAAATTTTTAGAAACAATTTAAGAAGATAAAAGTTGTGACACTTTTTATTTCTAGTTACCTTTTTTTCAAATCCCTAAGGGAAACCAAAATAAGAAGGGGAGCAAAAAAGAATATAATGTGATATCTGAAAAAAAAATCTCGTGATGAATGTAAAAATCTCTGATTTGTACTCTATACCTGTATCTAAAAGAAAGGATATAAAATAAAGAGATATTCGTGTTAAAATCAAAGTAGTGATCTTATTAGAACTACTAATAACCTAATTCTAGTTCTTATTAGCGCTTATGGATAGAGATTTAATACAATTTTTATAACCGTATACCAAGACAAATACAGTCAGTTTCAAGACAAGCTTTCAATTTTATAAATATTTAATGTACATGTACTACTCCAATTTTACGTAATGTTTTTTTTTATTTTTTTTTTTATTTTTATAAGAGTGCATAGAAAAATGAAAATATTCTGCAGAAAGAAACGGTGTCATAACAGACGTAGCTTAGTACCCCACGCTATATTAAAAATAAATGCAAATAACAGTTAACGCCTCACACAAAAGAGTACGAAAAATAATATAAAAATGATTAAATCGATGATTGCAGAACTACAAGGTGAAGGATGCGGACAAGGTGGTCGTCTACACGACGACGATGGGGATAGTGCGCGAGACGTATTACCGTTGCGTCCTAGTCAAGCAGATCCTGAGGACGCACATGGTCAAGTACGAGGAACGGGACATGTACATGTCAACGGAACTGCAGACCGAGCTAAGAGAACGGATCGGCTGCACAGCCATAAAAGTGCCACAGCTCTTCATCGACGGGCAGCACATCGGGGTGAGTGTTATCTCTCTTTCTCTTCTTCTTTTTCTTCTTCGTTAAAAAATAATGCGACGCGGAAGTCGTTCGCCGAATAGGCACTCGGTACAGGACGGAGATAATTAAATGGAAATGGGATAGCCGCGAAAATGAAGTAGGTCGCACTGATTGTGCATATGCATGTATTTGTGTGCTGGTGTGCGTATGTATACATGAAGAAGGCATTATCGTAACGGTGACGTTGGACTAGAACGAAATGGAGTAGCTATTTGTGGCAAGCAGTATTTAATCAAATCGATCGAAATGCGTTGAACGTGTAGTCTTCCCCATTATCTGTTACGAACTACACGTAGGTCTATTAATAAATACTTTACTACGATGTATCGGATGTTTCCTTACCATTGGATTTTCAATTTCTTCAAGATACACATCCGCATAGCTTCCTGTCAATAGTTTTATGAATAATGTTGGAAATAAAATTCATAATTTTTTAAACCTTTTTTTTTGACTGGACTGAAGTAATTTTTGAATCATCGTTACCAGATGCCTTTAAATAAAGATAAAATTAGTTGCCAGGAACAGGACATTTTTTATTTGAGATAATTTTTTTTTTTTTTTTTTTTTTTTTAATGAAGAAATGAAGAAATAATGTTGAAAAACTCATAAGTGGTACTAGTATTTGTTACTTTTCATATTTTACTGCTTTACATTATTGTTGTTTTATTTTACTCCGCCAGAATGAAACAGATACAAAAATAAAGATACGAAAAATATATAATTATGTAATGATAAAGGTAACATCAAAAAGTCTTAGTCATAGAAAGTAAAATTTTGTGACAGCTAAAAGGAACAAACGATCCACTTTAAGTTCAGGGAAGCCCAAAACGTTAAGATGCTGCAGCTTGCTGTAAAAAAAAATATTATATTTTTCTATTCTTAGTAAAACAAAACCTTAGTATCTTACGTTCAACAAAATATTTTTTTCCATGGAGTACAGTAGAATAATCCCTGTTTGCATTGATCTTATACTATATACGCGTACATGTTTTTTGATTAAAACACAAGTGGTTGGTCAATACTACACAAAAGCCGAAGTGAAAGTGGCCAAGAAACGAAAAGTGTCGACTCGAAGAATTTCCGTTGACTTTCGATTCGGACATTTTCACTGCTTAGATTTACATACAATAATCGAATGTTGGAACGCACCGATGCTTAATTCGATAAATCTTGAGAACGATGAGAAAATGCGCAACCCGTGCAAAGAGAGAGAGAGAGAGAGAGAGAGAGAGAGAGAGAGAGAGAGAGATGTGCGCGATTGATTGTGCCGAGTCGCGAGGTGAGATTTGAATGGGCGTCACTTTGCGAAAGATCTTGCAATAGGCGTATTTACAATTGATGTTCGTGAACTTACACCTGTTCAAGTTGCTCGAGGCTGTAAATACGTAATTTATTCTGTTTGTTGTTGTGAGCAGATCACACGCTCGTGTGCTCGAATTTAATGCTCGATGCTTTCCCGCGTTCGGAGACAATGAAAAAAAATTCATTTCGCATGTACTGAGAAGCATCTGAAATGTTTCTTTAAAAATACGTACCTCATAAATCTTAAATGGATTAAAATACTTACAGACCCATGATTTTTTTTTGTTAAAACCGCTTGGACTTCAAGTTAATTGAAAATCAAGGAGGGAGCAAGATGTTAACGCCTTTTATTGTGTAATTTTAATCAGCTTTAAAATTATAAATAAATAATCCATGCACCTGATACTATAGTCATATATGAGTGTAGATGCAGCTTATAATTAATTTTCATAATTATTTCAACCATTCAGTGCAATGTTTTATTTTAATCCATAAAATGAAAAATACTGCATGAATTATATAAATACAAAGATGTAAGTAAACATATGTCATTGTAAGTCCATTAAGGTTTGCATGAATAATCAGTGACGGATGGACTGCTGTTAAATACCCAGACCACACACGGGCGTGGCCAGTGATAAGACTAGCGCACAAACTAGTATGGGTAAATCTTTGCTCTTTGGCGTAAAGGAACGACTCGTGATGAGCTTGATGCATGTAGATAGTTATCCTTTGGGAGCACCAAGGCATCCCTTTAACGTTCATTTCAGTTATTCAAGCGAGTACAGTCTCGAGAATTCTATTCACTGTGAGCCAAGTAATAACGCTGCTACTGGAAGTTGTGCGCAATGCGAAATTAAATTTTACGTATAATTTGTATACTTAATTCAATGACTTTTTGTAAGAAAATTGATGAAGTGGGTGTTGTTTTGACATGTGACTTGTGTGATTTGGTTACTTGTACATAATTTAAGACTGTGAGGACTTACACTCAATTTCCATACAGTGCTTTCAACACAAAACTTTTTTTTATTTTGAAATATAAAAAAATTGCTATTTCAAACTACAAGTATAAAAAAATAGTAAAACAGTAACCATATTTTACTTCTGAAGGAGTACAAATTTCATTACACGAAAACATGCTTTTTTTCATGCTAAAAAAATTCAAAATACAATTTTTTTTTCACGCTTCCACAAAATATTTTTATTTTCCCGAGGTCGGGATTAAATTTTTTTTTTCCCCTTCAACAATTGAATTTGATCTCGGCTTTTACGCGAATACAGTGGAAATACTTTATCATCCACTGCTGCCAAGCCACCTATGTTTGAATAACTGATGTCGACGTTTTATCGAAAAACGCTCAAAATGCTCTTCTGTGTGACTTCAGAAAAATCGAGTTCTCAATGTAAACATCAAAAGTGAAAGGGAAAAAAACTGCTGCACATTCTTCGTCTCAACAGTATTTTTATTGATTATATTAGCAGTAAAATTTATCAAACGCCATAGCACGTGACAGTTACTCGTAGTAAAAAAAAAAAAAAATCCTTATAAAACTCTTTATTGCGAATAAATTTCTATTCAAGATGAATTTCAACAGTCAGCTGCAGAAGGCACATATCCTGATTTAATCGGCTTTACTTGTACTTGAGAGTTATATAAATCTCACAAAGTCAATGAACGGTAAAAGAAATGTCTGATGCCTTTCATCGTCTCTTGTACATTACTGCACTGTTTGTTTATTGTATCGACAATGTCAAAATTATTACTGAAGAATTGTTCAAAAATAGAATGATACTTGGAAGTGAATCTACCTTTATTAGTTTATTTGCGTGGGTCGCTTCCGCCTCTTGCTGTCACGTGTTCCATCTATAAGTACAAGTGTGTTTTTGCGTACTGAGTTAAAAAATTTGCTGCATCGATTGCAATTTTATTACTCTGTGGATCATGGACAATCTGAGATATTTACATAAAAGTTTAAAAACATCAAAATTTGCAACATATCAAAATATAGTAGCGTAGAAATATTTATTAAATAACACTTTTAAAATACGTGTTACCATTAACATTTGAATTCAATAACATTTATCTCTAAAGTTACCAACCTTTTAATAGCTCATAGCAAATTTTGTGGTAGTACACGAGCATATCAGCATTGATCTCTTTGATAACAAAGTTAGAACTAAAGTAACCACAACATGGTAGTACATCATCTTGAAAATGCCGACAGCACATTGTTAACAAGTTTGAAGTCCAGTATTACTAACTTAGAACGATGCCCTTACATCGATAGTACCTTAATTAATTACTTGTGGTAACCTCATGCTTTGTTCCGTTTAGTTGTAGCGTATAAATGTAGTAATGAATGATGCTAGTATTATTGAACAATTAAGATTCGTCTTCAACTTGAGCTCGAATGTTTGAGTAGAGAATATTCACAACGCAAAATATCTCAATCGATAAATTATTGCACGACTATAAACACAAGAGTTGACTGTGATTCTTTTCTTTTTTTAATATTGTGTCAATTTTTTGTTTGCGTTTGTCGGCTATTGAATGGAATCTCATGTATCTCTCTAACTTCAGCTTTGTGTATGATGATTTTTGGGACATCGTAAATTGATGCTCTTCAAGTAAGGTAAATCTAAATTTTGCAATATCCATACATACTTGTCGTCATCGTCAAGACGAAAGTATTGAAAGCTTTTGTACAAAAAGAGGCGTCTTTAGTTTTCATTGTTACGTCACAATTGCTACCGTCGACTTCGTACACTCCTAAGTTGTACCTGTAACGAAAATTTGAAACGGTACAGTGAATCATGTCACGGCATCTGATCGATTGAAAAAAGAAATCTAGTCTGCACTCTGTTCCAACACTATAAGTATTTTTGCGATTTCTGTATATATTAGAGCTCTTTCTTAGGTTTCTTCTCTTTTGTCTCACTTCGAAATGAACAGAGCAGTCGACACCGTCTGTCACTTTGAGCCTGGGATTGTGTGAGTTGGAAATTCTTCATCATACACAAGAGTCAAGGCCGAGGGGAGCGCAGCGCGTATGTATGGGCACGTAAAATAATGTGAACGGTGAAGAATTATTATTATTATTATTATTATTGTACAATGGAGTACCTGCAAGGGAAGCTCTTCTGTTCTCCTTTCCCGGCGACTCTTCTATCCTTTCGACTCTCTAACGATGTTAATTTGATATCGCTCGGTTGCGCAGTAAATCTCATAATTTCCATGCAGATGAATCTCAGCGCTGCCGCCTCACTTGGGTTATTTTATTTTCCTCCACCTCTCTTTTATTAACTATTTCATCATCAGTCGGAGCTTCAAAAATTCAACAAAGACAGTAATACTAAATGTTATTCTTTGCTCAGGGTTCATTGATTTAAAAAGAAAGGCGTCAAATAGGTGGGCTTAACTCTTACGTGTAAATAGTGTACGTAGAGAAGTATGAAAAACATCAATTCACACAATCACCATGGCTGACTTCTCAAGCCTCGGTCGCAAGGTCTTTATCTAATAGGTACAATAACCCAACCAAACTAAATCTTTGTTTCAAACGTATAATCATTGGCGAATAGAAAATCGTCAAGAGTATTTTGTTCTCAGTTAATCATACTTGATAAGTGCCATAGTAGACCAAAATCACTTACACCACTACAAAATCCTCTAAATTATCGAAATGTTGTTCTGCACGCAGTAAAAAAAAAAAAAAAAAAAAAATTGGCTCTCTGGGTATTTCGAAATTGTCAACTCAACGACGTACGGAAGCATTTTGAGCTCAGGCTGTGCACTCGAATATCCTTTGCACAATACATAGTAGCTTGATTTCTCCTTCCCTGTCTCTTTACGCTACAAGTACACCTTAGCAAAACCGCACTGGCTCTTCCCATTCCTCTCCGGTCATTTAGAAAAGCACTCCACCATCAGCGAATGAGATTTCTTTGCCGAGCTTAAGAGCTCTCGACTTCACATACTCATAAAATCCATTAAATTCTCGTGATTCATTTGAATTTCAAATCCACAGCCACGGTGCGCAAAACGCCTCAAGCTTACCGGGTTACATTCAAGTGCACATGCCACGTACTGCTGGCACTATTCGGTTAATGCGTTTTTAGGCACTACGCGTAAATCAAGGAGACTCGTCTCTTGTGATGATCCACGACTGGCTATTATTATTATTATTTTTTTTTTTTCCCCCTGTGGGGATGGAAGTCGCGAAATCGAGAGGATGATACAAATCCGTCTCGAGGCTAAATACGCTCGCACACATGGCTCGTCCCCGATGTTGTAGCAAAGCGCTCAGCAGATCAAGATATTCAAGGACCGATCTGTGAACATGGACTGTCTGCTCTGTGAAAAAAAAAAAAAAAAAAAAATGAAAGTAGCCGCGTGGCGAGCGAAAGATAGGGCAGAATATGCCGTCGTAATGTCAAGTTTGGGGGGGGGGGATGTGGGAATAACGTGCTTACTCCGCACGGAGGGATCAAGCCTGGGAAGAGTCAGAGAAATTGCCGTGTGTATGATAAATCTTGGCTTATGTATAGGATAATACGATTTGCCCGAAAAATCAACGTGTCGAATGGGTATACGTGCCGACCTCTGGCATCGTGTGTTACGAAATCGGGAGAAAATTGAGCCAATCGATTTTTTTTTGTAATCCCACGGCCAGTGTAAATAGACAGGCTTCTTAAAATCAAATTTGTCCAAGTATCTCTATCGTTCTGTTGCATGTGGGGGTTTATTATTTACATACGATCCAATAAGGTTAAAAAATTAAGTTTTGCACATGGTGATCGGTATACTACATATTTTCATTTCTGTAAACTTGATAGTTTACATAAATAAGTAACTTGTCATTTCATTAAAAATAAAATACATTCTGATATAGTCTTTATTTGTAGGACGTGATTGTCGCATTGATGGGTTTGAAAGTAGTACCTATGTAAGAATTTCACTACTTACCTCACGATCAGAGAAAGTGTCAACAAATATCGAGAGAAAGTATGTACCATATTACCGAGTACAGTATTAGCTTATAGATACATCGAAAGCAAGGGATTCGGCTTCCCATGACTCGGGAAATACGATTCTCATGTCTTACCAGTAGACAGCGTCTATTTTGGCCAAAATTATTTTTATCTGCACAAAATGACGATCAATCACTGAGCCCCCCTATATCTATCGAATCGACTAATTTTTTAAAAAACTATATACAATCGACACAGAGAGAAAACGCGAAAATCAATTCCTATTGGGACACTCCAAGCAGTGCGTTGCAAAATTCGTATCTAAACATCTGGCTTTTCTTTTGGTTTTTCTCTCTAACTCATGTAATAATCCCGTCATTTTCTGCTTACAGGATGCCGATGCTGTCGAGCGGCTTAACGAGTCTGGCGAGCTGCGCCAGATGCTGAAACCTTACAAGGCAAGTTGCTAACTACTATTATTTTACGCGCTTAGATCAACTGTAAGTACCCAAATTATTTGCTCTCGAGTACTTACTTGTGAAATACCTGTTTGCTCGTTGACTCAGATAATTACGTGTATAATTGCTTTTGTTACGTATATTAAAATAGTTATTCATGAAAAACACGTGTTCATCATTTATTTGAAATTCACTTGTTACAAACGAAATTTCGTGTTAAAAAAGAAGAAGAAGAAAAAAAAAAGATGTAAGAAGTGTACTTGTCACGTTGTACCGGCAAACGACCTTGTTACCGAAAGTACGAGCTGGTACAATTTTCACGTCAGAGTCGTGTAACACGATTAACGATGTTAGGAAAGGAAAAAGAAAAAAAAAGACAATGTGAGACACGTTTTGTATTGAATAAATCGTCTTGAAACAATGGGAAAAAAGCACTTGCTCGGTATGTTGTATTTTTTTCAAACTTTCTTTCCTACTCGTATGTGAATGTGTCTGTATCAGGTAGTCAATGAATACAAAAGTACGCAGCACGACTTTGGAATTCATTAATAATTTGTATATCAACTTGTGTGACACGTCGACATAAAAAATGATAGAAACAGCCTGTACGAACGCGTGAAGTACGAGACGCTGATGATTATTTGGAATTTTCTGTATACATAAAGCAAGCAACAGTATTTTATAGCTCACGGGTGCGCCAAAACTGCTCGTTTATGGATATACTCTGCACGTAGGCTAGCTTTCAAATCACGTTTCTACCGATAAACTGTACGCACCATCGAGCTGATCTCGAATTATTTCGGAATTCATACCAGCGTTTGTGCCCTTAATTCGCCTGGCAGCCCGGGGCAAGATGCGAGCGTGAATTTTAAGCGATGAAATTCGTAGGTATGTGTTTCATTTAAAATTTGAATATCACGAATGGAAAAACAAAATTGTATCAACTGCGGGGAGTGTTGCTCGAGCAGACGGCAACTATCGATTGATTGTTCATGGATTGGGCAATGTACCACCGACTCTCAGTCACGTGGACGAATCATGCTATACGTAAAGCATCACGACGTGTAGTGGGATTTCAAAGGCTTGTATTACAGGTGAGAAAAATAAATCGATAGCAACCTGATTTACATACTGCAGGCTGCACTGTAACGGGCCACTACGAACCTGTAGGCTCGGCATTTCTTTCATCTCACGGAATCTATAGAAAACTACTCGACATATCTACTCTAGGTCGATTGACCAAAGTTTCTCACGTCGGCATTTTGCCGAGTCCATCGTCCGCCCAGTATATCCTTTGGAGGTGAGACCAAGCCATTCGCTGTAATATTCAGCGAAAAAAAAGCCCTCTTCCCAGTGGTTTTGTCGGATAAATGATAAGACGAACCCTACAAAACACCCATTAGTTTCGCAATCCCGATGTAAACACACGCCTGGGATGAAATTCTCCTCTCACGACTCCCATTTCAGCTCCTTGGCGTTCAAGATTGTGTACAGTATTGCCGTGCGACGCTAAGGAAGCTCAACAAGCACGAGCCACGTGCCCACATTCGAGCACGTAAGTGTACTTATGTACACCATGCCACGGCACGGCTCGACCGCACAACCGCTGTACGAGAACCACCCTCCTCACCCTCTCCCGATGCGAGAGCCCGTGTACTCATGCACACACATACCTACGCAACGCAGTACACGCAAGGTTATACAATCCTTTCACTTTCATCGGTCGCTACCTATCCGTCGAAGCCCGTGATTGACATCACACTCGCGTTGTGTGTACATGTACACTCGCGAGCCTACCTGCTGAGCAGGCCAACCTGTCGCAGGCAATCGCCTTCGGCTCTAATCAAGCTGAGTCTCCCTCTCTTCTTCCTCGCGGAATATCATCCTTTACAGCTATACCTTCGCCATCCAGTCGACCTCGGTATACCTCCTGAATCATATTTATACATACACGAGCACACAGCTAACGCTGCGCTCTTTCTACAGCAGCTATACAAATGTATAATCCTAAGCGCAGATGTATACAAGTAGTCTTGGGCATGTGCAAGAGAAGAGAGTTACCTTCTCGTTAACACCACCCCATCAGTCTATCTGCGGATATCTATGCTTATGCGTATCATATTTATATACACTCTGTAGAGGGAGTGAGAGAATCCGCGTTACCTTGCCGCGACCAGGCAAAGGTCGTTTACCGCTCGCCCGCCGCTTACTCTCTCTATACCCACTGTGATGCTTGTAATGCACGCGCGCACCTGCATGCGCCGCTGCGAGCATGTCTGTCTCACACTGCAGTAAACAAACTATACAGATGCAGACACCCACGTTCCTCGATACACACCATTCAGCCAACCAGGATCCCTTGCACGTGTGCACGCCTTGTACTCTCTGTGTCCATGAGCGGAATGGACTTGCGCGATCTCGCCTTTTCAAGATTTTCCGTTCTGCAGCAGCAAGCTTACTATGTGTTGTACTTCATTCTCAATCTCTCGTGTGTCGGTACTTTTGAGCTCTCGTGGATGCAATAGTGCCTTTTTTTTTTTTTTTTTTTTTTTTCTACTTTTGGCCCGAGACTGGACTGGATGATTATGCCATTGGGTGTTCTTGCTCTTTGGTATGAACCCAAGAGAAATGGAAAAGGTTTTTAGCGTTGCATGCGTATGCACGGTCTTGTTCGAGGGTACATTTAACGATGTGAGATACGAGTACGCAAAATCGACTTGTGCAAGTTATACATTGCTCGTGTTTTACTATCAAATTATGCCTGATGTAAAACTTGTGACGCAATTTTTTTCTCTTTTTAGTTGCTCGATTGTCAGACCTGAATAAAAAGTGTCTCGTTGTAGAAAATCTCACTCCCTAAAGTGAGGCATGTAACTTCGGCTGCTTTGTCATAAAAACTTGCGAACCAGTGGAAAACCATACGAGCAAACCGTACAACGATTTATCAAAAATAAATCAGACAGATGTTCTACATAGAGGTTGAGGTGAACTGCGTTGCAAAAACAGGACGAGCGAAACGAAAAAAAAAAAAAGATCCAAATACAAGGATAACTGGCATGCTAAGTTCATCGTTCACTTGTCCTTCGTTACTCCATTTTAAGGTCAGAGAGATAATGGGATTATAGTAGATTTCCGTCCATCCAATTCAGTTTGGAGTACCAAGATGAATCCATGAGAATAAAAAATTCATGACGGCGGAGAAGAAGGTGAGCGCGTGCATGAAAAATTCACGCAAACTCGAGCACTTGGATTTTTCTTCTTGCAATGGATCAAGTGACACCCAACGAATTGTACACTGTATACCATTGTACAATACGACAACTGAGAACTACAGGGAAAAACTCCAAAATTTACGGTGAAACGGATTCTCGTGTCGATTAGTCGAAATGAATATGTTGGTTGATATACATTTCGTGCAAGTGTTTATAGATACGCATTTCAATTCAACAGATGGATATTTGTGAAACATATTTATTCAACCGTGCATTTGGAGAAAATTAATGAAGCAATGCTCAAAATGACTGAATGAATGTTTGAAAAAAAACATGGTACATAGACAAAGCGTTGCTAAAGATAACATGATGTTTAGTTACAATACATTTAGTTTTTAAAAGATTGAAAGGTTACGCATAAAAAAAATCATCGAAAAAATGTGATTGGATAGTGTCCTTCAAATAGTTAGAGAACTCAGGAATTAATGTCAAAGGGATAAATTAACTGATATTATAATGCACGTGCTTGTGTTAAAGAGAATAATTTTAAAAAACTTACACGGACATAATTATTTAAATAAATTTGAAAATGAACAACTATTGCTCATGAAATGATAAAAGATATGAATAACACCCGTGACACGTCACTTGACAATGTCTAATCACAAACTTTTGTGTGGAGCATCGACAAAAGTATCACGTCCTCCCGATACTGGACACCCCTACGGCTATACGTACACCGTATACTTCCATAGTTGGTATAGAATTTGGTGAATCAATAACTCGAATATCGTATCAAATCAATAAACGATCAATAAATCCCTAAGAGCAACAAAAAATTTCAATCCCAACGTAAAAGGAAACTCGATGCGTAAAAAATTTTCTTCAGTCAAGTAGAAAAAGGTCAAGTACGGTAGGACGAGCATGTTCGCCCGCACATTGATACGTATCACTTAACTCTCTTGCACTTGTATTTTCCGATATTTCAGTCGCTTGGAAAACTGCACAGATTATAATCAACGACCGCTCTATAACTTTATCTTTACACGCGATACAGTACGCAAGTCTATGATGAAAAAAAAATTTCTATATGTTTAACTATTCATTGCTTCCCAATTCTAAGGTGTAAAATCTCTCAATGTGCTACTTCGACTCGATTCAATTAGTCTATGAACATTTTATTAAGTAAAAATTCAGTACTGAAATATACCATGTGAAGTCAGAAGCGCAGACAAGTTACTAATCACACTCTCTTTCTCTTTTTTGTTTTAGAGTCTGGACGCGTGCAACACCTGCCAGGCATGTGGTGGCTATCGACTACTACCCTGTCCCGTCTGCAACGGCAGCAAGAAATCTGTGCACCGCAACGACTTTACCGCCGAATTCGTTGCTCTCAAGTGCATGAACTGCGACGAGGTGGGCCTCGTGCGCTGCCAGCACTGCTGAAACGAGTTGAACTCCACACCATTAGAATGGCTCATTTTCTTGACGAGTGATTGAAATGAGTCGATGCGAAATACCACCTCCAGAACGACAAATCTGACGAGAGGGTCATTTTTTTTGGGCATCACTCTCATTGTTTTTTTTTTTTTATTTTTCATTTTTACTTATTTTTCTCTAATTTAATCGAGAGCGCGAGAATTGTATAAAAAAGAGGAGCATCTACTATTTTTATAGCTGATAATCTCAATTATTGGCTTCCGATATGCCACAGATGCTTTCGATTTTATCAAAGGCGGCCAATCGCGATTTTTCGTAATTTTTTGGCTTAAAATAGAGATTTGCTGTCTTTTTTCCCTGCGTCTCTTGAGTGCAGATCTTTCTCGTCTATTTTTTTGCTCAGCTATAAATTTCTATGGTGGCAGCTGTTGTTGTTGAATTTATACTAGTTTTTGTCGTTCCGGAAGTGCGTAACAATTATCATATCTGGAGGTACAAATAATATTTGAAATCCTGATAATTCTGCAATAACAATACCAGCGTGCATGTACCTATTGTACATTTATTTGCATAATATAATGTGGATGTTTTTAACAAGTAATGCTTTAATTTAAGTACAATCGTGTGATTCTAATAGGTATGCAAACAGATATACGTACATGACACAAAGTTATGGTTAACCATAGGAAGAGTGGAACATTTGTTAGTTTGATACATTTTTTATTTGGATAGTAATTTCCTTACCAAATTAAGTGATTTTTAATGATGTTTAAAAGTATCTACTAATGTTTATTGTTAAAAGAAGCGGGCATTTAATTAAAAAAAATGTTTTTTAAAAGATGACAAAAAAACATACCTTAGCTTGAATAACTACATACTCGATATGATGTGAATCCATTAGTTTGCTTGCATACCTTAAAGGATCATGCATTAAACTTGTATTACAAATCTCGACAAGCATAAGAGTCATTCATCAAATTAAAAAATATTTTAGTTTTTATCGAATGTTTTTTTATTGTTATTATTATGGTTATTGCTATTATTATTGACTTTTTTCACGTCAAAATGACGCTTATTTTTTTATTTTTTCCTTCTAACTCGATCATATTAACTTGTGTAAATAATTTTTTAATGTAGTCGAAGAATAGTTTCTTAATGAACAAGAATCTGTTACACATCTCGTCGAGCATAATTCCTGGAAAAAAAATAAAATAAAACTGTATCCATAGACTTTTATTGTTATAATCATTGTGCAAAACGACGTAAGATTCTGCTCAAAATTTCGAAACAAAAAATTTTTCCCAAACAGAAGAAACAGGAAATCCGATTTGTAATGTCGTGCAGCTTACAACGTTACTGTACAGTTTTCTTTTTTTTTTTTTTTTTTTTTTTTTTTTCATTTCCATTAAGTTAAACAAGTTATGAGAAAAGCTTTTCATGTAAACGTAAAATCGATCAATAGACTAATTTATTTTTGGATGTGGATTGATTGTTGGATGCTCGTAAAAAAAAAAAAAAAAAACTACGTGCAATAGAATGAAAACACTACATGAATGCGTGCAATTTGTGAATGATAAGTAGAGAAAGCATTTCAAAGAGAGAAATTAATGAGCAAAAACATGTAAATTGTATTGTACCGTAAGCTCAGCAAGTTAATTCCGATGTACTCCGTGTAATTGAAACGAATGCCGTTAGGCGAAAATCGATGCAGCGCATGCGATATATTCTATATTCTCACTTGTTAAGAGACACTGTAAATCTGACATAGGGGCGTATCATTGACGTATAAGGCTCGACACGAACGCACTCTTGTACGCACGCGGACGTATACACGTGCATGTATATTACCATATGTTAACATTTTTATGTAAGCAAAAAAAAAAAATAATAAATAAATTAAAAAAAATAAATAAAAATGAAAAAAAAAAAATAATCATGAAACATATTTACGCAATGAGATCTGCCTGAGGTGCTATACAAGAGCGTCGATTGTGCGTGTTTTAACATGCACTCGCACACACGTGCTGACTCTCCCAACTCTTTCACCTGAACGATCCAAACGACACATATGTCACGTTTGCGCAGACGCGAATGTAGAGGGCTCGCAAAAATCGAAGCGCACAACAGATCCCAGACATTTCTCTTTCTCCCTCTGTTTCAACTCCCGTGTAATTTTTGCTATCCCGGGAAAATTTGTGCTACCGTATGGATCGTTTCACCTTTTGTGTGCCTACACCCTTCTTTTAACCGCTTTTTGTATCCTGCTTACTAATTTATAGTGTCTAATGAACGTGTGTGCGCGTGCATCGGGATAAGCTTAAGTTGGGATAGTTTTTAAGATGATATGATTATTCGATGAACCGTGCAATAACTATCTTTATCTCATCAAGGTGTGTGATGATGCTTTTGCGGGATACGCGCATCCCCGATTGACGAGAGACAAACCCAAGTTGTATAATATTGATGTTTAAATAAATATGTCTAATATTTCTTGAATTACTTGCTGTTGCTTCTTATTTGGTTTGTTTATTGTTATTTATGAAGTTATAGCCCTTCACTTTGCAGTTGATGCATGTAGAGTAATAGGGGTATACAGAGTCACTAGAGGACAAATTTATCCGTCCAACCAACCGCTGATAAACGTATGGTGAAGATTTTCTGAAAATCTTTCCATGATATTTATTTATAGCGATTACAGCAACGAAGTTTAAAATACATGGGCATTCATTTATTCTAAAAGTAATTTCTTACATCTTATAAAAATTCCTTGATAGGCATAAAATTTTTCTTTTTATACGTTATTTTCTTTTCTATGTGCAATTAAAAAATAGTAGTTTTCCTACGAGTTTGAAAAGTCTCTATTTGCGAACCGAGAGGTTTGCGGCCCGAGCCGAAGGCGAGGGACGTAACGAGGTTCGTAAAGGAGACTTTTCGAACGAGTTCTGGAAAACTGCTTTTTCGCCCGAGGAAGTACCAGCCTCCCAAAACCACCCGAGTGCGGAAAAATTTTTTTTTTTTATATAGATTTTTTACATGAAATATAATTGTATTTAAAAGACAGTTTTAAATCATTTTCAATGTCGCTCATATCAAAAATATGAGGAAGCATTAGTAATTACATAAATGTATGGTCAAACTTTGATTACAATAGTTTGAATGTATAAAGAGTAATAAAATCTTATCAATATGAGAAAGTACTTTTTAATAAGTTTTTGTTTTTGCTCATATAAAAGCTATTTTTAATATGATAACAGTAATTGTAGAGAATTGCTGTCTCAAAAAAAGTTAAATATGTTTTCCAACGAAAGACATACAGCAGTTTGCTATTACTTTAATTGATTTTTTTCTTTTTTCCTTGTTCTTTTTCAAATATAATAATCATCATTTGGCAAATTCAAACTGAAAAGTACTTCATCGCTTCATTGCTACAATATGCCATGATTACCTACAATTATGCGTCTGAAGCGTATGAATTCAAAATGCATAAGAAAAATTTAGTGAGGCTCAGATACCTCGTAGATTATGAAGACATCCTAGAAAACACAACGATTAGTAGTTATTTTCATGTAAGTGATAAAAATTAGATTGTATGAGCAGTTTATGCACACCTGAATAAATATTGAGGAAAAAGACAGATTAAAAAAGTTTTTAACTCATAATATATTTTAGAAATTAATTATTTATTAATTATCAAACACACAACTAAAAAATGAATCACAGAAATAAACTTCGAGATATATTGGGAAGCTCTGAAAAATAGCAGTAATTTTTTCATTAGGACAAGCTTTTGTGACAAATTTTTATTATTTTATTTAGTTTTCTATTGTGACATAACACTCTGTAAAATATATTTCTAGTAAATGTACAGACTTATAAATAAACATAGAATTGTTTGTCAGTTATATCCAATGAAGAAAAAATTATTGATATAACAAGAGTACCAAGCACATTTTATATGAAAATTGAACTTTGAGTTATTAACACAATATGTCGCACGAATATTCAAATTAGTACTCATTTACAAAATGTATCCAAGCAACGTAAACTAGTTTTAAATAAACAATCAAATCAATTAAAAATTAGCAGCTTGACCAATTTTATTCAATAGTACGATTTGAATCTGCCAGTGTAATGTGCAAGCTTGTAAAATAATTAAAATAACCCTTTTTTTATCAGGAACCCCATGGAAATCGTATAACTTTAGGTCTGACGCTTAGCAAATGTTTATAATATATGCAGAAAAAAAAAAAAGACATAACATGATTATTCTAAAGATCATGATTTTGAGACTGAAAACCTTTACAAAATAACTAGTTGTCTAAAAGGCAAAAATTTTTTTGTAGGACATTTATTTAATCGATTTTGTTATTGATCAGAAACTTATTATTTCTGTCATAAATTGTATAAAAAATAGTGATACCAACTACGAGCTTTAAATATGGTATTAAAAAATGCATATTTATGGTGTCTATTTAAACAATTGATCTTAAAAATTGATTGTGTTTATAATCAAACTAAAACTTTCATTATCATATATAGCACAAAACTTAAACTTTTCAGTATAATATACCTCATCATGAATTAAATTCAAATGTTACGACGGTAGATCATTTACTTTAATACATTCTCGAAAGTGCTATTAGAATCGAAAATGTAGTATTATTTTTGTTTCGATTGTAACATCAAATTTTTTATAGTAGCTTTCATGTAGAATATTTTGTTCCTATTTTTTTGATCTCGTTCAAAATCTTCCAAAGTGAAAAAGAAAATTGATGTTACAGCTGCCTTTAGAACTATAATAACTGGCATTATAACAAAAAAAATAGAAATTATGGTGCATGATGTGAATATTATCGCCAATATTTCGGATGAGTTACGCGTGACATGAGAAATAAACAAAATAGCATATTCGACTAGTAAAGAACAAACAGTTACCAAAACTCCGACACAACATGTGAATGCCTGAAAAAAAAGCGATATTAACTAGTTGATTTCTTATATAATTA